ATAAAGTGAAAAATCAAAGTGAACATTATCAGTTTTGTGCCACCTGACAGGATAAAATAAGAAGAAGAAATTGCTCCTGTGATATTTTGCTTAAAATCTTATTTTGTCTGATATCAGCATAGCCACTCCAGCTTTCTTTTTTTTTCTTTTTGAAAAATTTATTTTATTTATTTGAAGGGCAGAGTTGCGGGAGGAGGGGAGGAGGAGAGAAAGAGAGAGAGAGAGATGTCTTCCACCTGCTGGTTCATTTCCCAGATGGCTGAAATGGCCAGGGGGATGGGTCAGGCCTTGTCCAGGAACCACAAACTTCATCCGGGTCCCCACATGGGTGCAGAGGCCCAAGGATTTGGGCCATCTTTGCCTGCTTTCTCAGAAGCATCTGCAGGGAGCTAGATTGGAAGTGTTGTAGCCAGGACTGATGCCTGTATGGGATGCTTTAACCATTATACCACAACACGGGTCCTATGAATTCCTAGATTCTAAATAACTTTCATCATGGTATATTTTCTGAATTTTATTTTCCTATTCATAATTGTTGTTAATATCTTACTGTGCCTCATTTATAAAATACTTTATCAAAGGTATGTGCATATAGGAAAAAACACAGTATATGTAAGATTGGGTACTCTGTGTATTCAGGCCTCCACTTGCAGTCTGAGAACACACACACAGACAGAGACACATGCACACACACACACCAGTAATGGGGAACTGCTGTAGTCACCTCTGTAACTCCTCTCCTGCTGTTCTAGTCCAAGGCTGTATCAGCATCTGCCTGGGAGAACCCTGGTACTCTCTCTGAAGTCTTCACGTCCATTTGTGCCCCTTCAAATGTGTTCCCCCAGGAACTGGACAGTGTCTTCCACATGCTAATATGATCCCAATGCCTCTACTCCATCTCTGTGTGTGTGTGTGTTTTAAGATTTATTTTAATTTGAGAGTCAGAATTACAGAGAGAGGGAGAAAGAGAGAGACATCTTCCATTTGCTGGTTCACTCCCCAGATGGCTGCAATGATCAGGGCTGGGCCAGGCCAAAACCAGGAGCCAAGAGCCTCATCCAGGTCTCCCATGTGGATGCAGAGGCCCCCCCCCCCCCCCCCCGCTGCTTCCCCAAGTAGTTTAGCAGGGAGTTGGGTCAGAAGCGGAGAAGCCCATGGGGGAAACCGGGGCCCTGTGGGAAGCCTTTTGTGGGGAGGGGGGTTTTATCCCCACCCCCCAGGACTGGTTGTTCTACTCCATCTTTCACTTAAAATACTAAAGTCGGGCACCTTTACTCAAAATTTCAAGGGTTCTTGCTGTATATTTAGATCAGAATTCTAAATATCAGCTGCTTATAAATGAAACAGGCAACATGGTACAGTTTTCAGCCTGTATTCAGTGAGAGAAATACACAGGAAAGTGAGGGTTTTTTTTTTTTTTTTTTTTTTTTTTTAGGGGAAAAGAAGTCTAGAGTAGAAAGAAGTCTAGAAATTAAGTTGGGTTGATATCAGGCAGAGAGCAGGTAGGGAACCAGGTGGAGCAAGTGTGCAGTTAGGAGCAGCCACAGGTAATGTAGCGTGGGCAGAAAAGCAGAGAGCAGGCAGCCAGAGGCCACAAGCCCAAGGCTTAGTGAGGTGGAATAAGGCCATGCCAAGATGGCCGCTGGCAAGTGAGTGTCAGTTACTCAGGAATGGCTTTGAAACCCACCTGGCAATGGAGCCTGCCGGGCAACAGGCTGTGATTGGTTAGGGCATAGACCGCCCCTTGACCGGATTGGCTGCCTTGGCTATATAAGCTGTTGTACCAACTGAAATAAATGAGCCTTCGGGCTGCTCACCTCTGGCCCACTTTCACCCAACTCTCAGGGTCGTATGGTGACTTGCGCCTCTTGCCCCCACCACACTCCTCATCTCAGAACGAATCCATAGCAACAGCGTGGGACAACAAGGGGCCACTCCAGCTTTCTTTTGGTTGCTGTTTGCATGATACGTATTTCTCCATTCTTTAACTTTCATCCAATTTCTATTTTTTAATGTAAAGAATGCCTCCTATAAAGGCATACAATAGGAACATAGTTTTTGTTTGTTTGTTTGTTTGTTTGTTTAATGCTATATAGCAACCTCTGTCTTTGGATTATTTAATACCTTTTCATTTAATGTTATCATTGACTTAGTTGGATTTATTTATGCTATTTTACTTTCTGTTTTCTATGTTTCAGGTCTTTTCTGTCCCTCTAATCTGCCCTTCTGTGTTTTGGAATTGTTATTTTTGTCATTATTTAGTGTTTGCCCCAGATTTACCGTATACATATAATCAGAAGTAGGTTCAAGTTTATACTAGCTAGTTGCAGTTATTCCTGTATACCTGTATTCTCTCTTCTTTTCTTTTGTGGTATTTTACACAACATATTTAACATTAGTTAATGTTACACACCTAACAGGACATTGTTATAATTATTTCCTTACCATTTGTTCCCATTGTCTTAGTCAAATACAACTTTATTTCCACTCACTGCCTTTGTGCTATTATTGGAGGTTTCACATGTATTACATTCCTATATGTTACGGGCCCAACATTCCATTTTTTATACAATAAGTTAATAAGAGAAAATATTCACTTAAATTATCTTTTACAACTAGTTATAAAATTATCTCTCTGGTGCTTTTTGCTTTGTTTTGTTTGTGGATTTGAACTACTGCCTGGGATCATCTGCTTTCATCTGAAGAACTTCCTTACGTGTCCCTGTAAGACAGGTTTGCTAGCGTAACTTCTCTACTTTTTGCTCCCTTGGAAATGTTTTTATTCCACCTTCATGTTCATAAGACTGCTCTGCTGAGTAAAGGATTTTTGGTTGCAGCTTTTTCCTCTGGGAGGTTTGACTGCAATTTCCAGTGCTGCTGGTCCTTAATACTTTTACTGAGAAGTCATTGTTGACCTTACTGATGTTTACTGGTAATTAAGGAATTGTTCTCTTGCCCCTCTCCCCACCTGCCTTGTCTGACTTTGAACTTTTTCACTGTGATGTGTCTGTTGTGGATCTCGATGTGTTTACCTACTGGGACTTCGCCGAGCTTCCTGGGTGTGTAGCTTCCTGTTTCTCAATATATTTTTGAAGCTTACTGCCATTAATCCTTTGAATAGATTTTCCCCCCTTTGTCACCTTCCTCTCCTTCCAGTATCCTTATTTTATTGGTCCCACATTTCTCTGACACACTTTTCATTTTTCTATTCTTTCTTTCTGTTTCCCTTGGCTTTGTGTAGTCTCAATAGATTTATCTAAAAGTTAGTTTATTCTTTTTTCTACCAGTGCAGATTTCTTCTACTGTGGGGCCCCTAATGAAGTTATTTCAGTTACTATACTTTACAGTATTTCCAGAATTATGCTGTCCAGAATTTCTATTTGGTTTATTTTTATAATCTCTGCTGCTTTATTGATATTCTTTATTTGATGTAACATCAAATAGATATTATCATTGTAACTTCCTTTACTTTGGTTATACTTTTCTTTAGTTCTGTAAACATGTTTATAATGGCTACTTTGAATTCTTTCAAAATGATAAATCCAACATCCGGTCATTCTCACAGGTGGTTTCTGTGCTGGATTTCCCCTCGCCCCTGCTCCAGTGTGTGGGTCGTATTCTCTTGTCTCTGCGCGCCTCATAATCGTTTGTGAAAGCAGGGCACTGAACATAATGCACTGTAACAGCCCTCAGGACTGGTCTCTCCCCAGTTACTGTTACAGACTGTCCTGGTCTTCTGATGATTTGACTTAACACTTTTCTGGCTTTAGATATACAAAAGTGGTATGCATTTGAGAAGCAGCTGTACTTCAGATTTCGAATTTTGATCTGTTCCTAGGGTGGCAATATGGAGTACAATTCTCTATCATGATATTTTCAACAGTAGTAAGCCATATCTCCCACTAGACCACGGATCACAAGGGTATACTGCACTGGGTTGCTAAGCTGTGATGGTTGGTAGGTTAGATGTATTAAATCCATCTTGACTAATGATAGTTTCAACTTTTGGTGGGTTTGTAAGATAAAAACCCTATCATAAATTGAGAAGCATCTGTTTTTGCTTGTTTAGTGACTGCATTACCTGAGGCAAATTCACTGCATACCACCAGCACCACACACAGTTTTAGTTTTTTAAAGTTGTCACCTTGGATGGCAGTGGCTTCTGACAGAGCTCTCTTCCTCTGGTTCCCTGACCACCTCCAACTGTTAAACTCCGCTAACTGCTGGCTTTGTTCCTTTGTTTTTAACAGTACCCTGGATATAAGTAACTATATAAACAAATCCAATCAAATGTGTACTCCTTTGAAGGAACAGGTATTAGTTGTTTCATATTTTATTTGTTCTTATCCAAGAAGGGCTCCCCACCCAGCTGTATTTTTTAAATTATTTATTTATTTATTTTTTATTTATTTATTTGAAAGGCAAAGCAACAGAGACAGAGGGAAAGATGAATGGGAAAGAGAGAGAGAGAGAGTTCTTTCATCTGTTGGTTCACTCCCCAAATAGCTGTGTGGCAGGGCCCCAGGGACCAGTGTCATCCTCTGCTGCCTTCCCAGGCACACAGCAGACAGCTGGATCAGAAGTGGGCTAACCTGCAGTGCCATAATGCAGGCCCTGCTCCCAGCCATCTTCATCTCTGGCTCTTTCCTGCAAACCAGCCAGCCTACAGTTCAGCCTTTACAGTCCCCCCGGTGATAGCCACAGGGGACGGGTTCCCTGACTCCCTATGAGTATCACAATCTGCACATGCTCAAGTTCCTCTGTGAAACGACGCTGTGTTGGCATACAGCCTATGGACATGCCCCCATCATTTTAAAAGCATTTCTAGATCACTTGTAATAGCTAATCAATGTGCATGCTGTGCAAATGTATTATTCAGGGAATAATGACAAGGAAAAAAGTTTATGTATTCGGCACAGACATGATTTTTTTTTTAATTTTAATATTTTCAACCCATGGCTATTTGAATCCACAGATGTAGAATTCAAGGATATGGAGGGCCAATTTTATTCTGAACGTGTTTGGAACTGCCTATGATCACGACCTTTTGGGAACAGACTCCGAGCTGTTTCATTCAAGGATTCCTTAACGTCCCCCACATACACACACACACACACACACACACACCACTCAATCCCTGAGCCAAGACCCTGGGCCTGGGGACCCAGCTTCTCTGTGAGTCACATCTCTGCTCCTCGAGTCTAGGTGGACGAAGGGAAAGGGCTGGCTGCCCTGCCGCCTTCTGTCTTCACACAACTGCCGCCTGAGGAGCCGCAGCGAGGGTAGTCGGGCCCCATCCTTCTCGGCGCTCCTACCCAAGGCACAGCCTCTGTTCCATGAGTTGGGGCCGGATGGGAAGAGGGGCTCCCCATTTGTTAACTGCTCGGGGCGGGTGAGAGCCCTGACATCTTGCTTCTGACTGGGAGCCCCCGGGCCAGGGCCGGAAAGCTCTGTGTTCTGGAGTTTCTGAGCAGAGACGGGGAAGAGATCACCGCCTCTGGCTCTCTTACCAAAGAATTTTTGTAGATTTTTCGGAAGAGGTATTTCTTCACTGGCTGTTTAACCTCTGGGGCCGTATCCAGGCGCTTCGAATAGTTGTTTGCCTTCGTTCTAAACAGTTTTCATCCGTTTCCCTGGGGATGAATCAGCTGAGCTCTCCACGCAAGCTAACTCTCATTCCCTCACGCTTAAAACTGTTTCGAGAAAAGTTAGGAAATTTCCAAAAATTGCCAGAAACCGGTTTTTGGGAGCAGATTATAGCGTTAGCCCGCTCCGGTGGCTACTTCTTGTCCTAGCACGTCCGCAAAATGCCCTGACCTCGAATCGAGGACCAGCACCACCCAGCCCGGGCTGCACCGAGGACCCAGCCAGTCACCGCGCTGTCAACAGGAAGCAGCGGCCTCAGCTTCTCAGAAGAGCAGCCGCCCGGCAGGGACTCCGGGGCCGGTGAGTGGGGTCCCCGGGCCTAGCTCCGCTGCAGCCGGGTGTGAGACTTCGGGAGGGCGAGCCCAGACCGCGGCGCGCGAGTGGGCAGGGAAGCGCTGCGGGTCGTGATCGCCAGCCTCGCGACCGCCTGCGCGTTTTCGATTTCTTTGCCACCATCTTGCCGGGCCTTTTCGGGCGTCCGGGTTGGGCCAGCCGACAGGTCTCAGGGGCAGGCGAAGGGCCCCGGCACGGGATCTGCCGGAGGGAGCTGGGCGGGGGTGGGCCTCCAGGCAGGTGACGCAGTCCTGGGGAATTGCTTATCTTTGGTTTGCCCCTTGGGCACTCGGTTGGGCGGAGCGCCCCCGGCCCCCGCCCTCAGCCCCCCACCCCTTGCCCTACGCGCGGATTCCCGGGAGCCCGGCCCGGAGCGAGGCGAGCCGCGAGCACCCCTGCAGCCCACCAAGCCCTCGATGGGCCTGAGGGTTGCTCGGCTCCGGGGGCCGACGCAGCGCGCTCGCCAAAGTGGAGAGAGCGAGGATCTCTTCTGAGTTTAAGAACCTGCGCTTGCCTTTCCTTTGGCCCGGCTCTTTCCCAATTAGTCTGCCAAGTCGGCGGGGTGTTTCCCGGAGCGGTTTCCGGTATACTGGGGCAAGCTGCAGCGAGAGCTTGCCTCGGGAAAGTTGGGGATGTTTGGTAAGAATTTTTTCAAGCCTTAAAACCTGCTTCTGCCAGCCACCCTCCCCGCCCCCCCCCCCCTTTCAAAAGTACGGAGAAACCTAAGATGATTTCAAGAGGTTCTTGTCCACCTGTACCCAGACTTTTTATTTACTGGCGAGACAGAGAGTCAGACACACAAATATAGCACACATCCGTTGTTGGTTTTTAAAAATTTGATTGACACGTTCTGTTATTATTGAACCGTGCAATGCAACAGAACAAAGGCAACTGACATTCAGAGTTAGTGTTTGCTCCTGGGAGCAGGGAACAAGTTCAAGGACGCGGAAGTTGCCGTTTGAACCCTGGGCGTTAACGCAACGCCAAGCCGCTGGGCTCGCTTCTGTCCAGCCTTGGCACCGGGGCCCGGGATCTGCGGGGCTTGGTTTGCTTCAGATAAGAGATCACAGATGAGAGGAAAGGAATTTTTAGTCTTTTTTTTTTCTCCTGTCGGTTGGTTCCCCGAGAGCAGCTTACAAGAATGCCGCTGATCAAAACACTTGACCGAACTTCAAGATTAAAAAAAAAAAGGCCGGTTCGAAAGTGGATTTCTGAATGTGCTTGCCACCCATCTGGCCAACACTAGTTTTACTTACGGCGTTCGGGGTGCGTGTCCCGGAGGCTTTTTCTAGCCACGCTGTGCTTTCCGTTTCTGTTCGCGCCCGACATGTGCGCTTTCGTTGGCGCCGCGTAGCTTGCTTCCGGGGCTCAGCCACCTGCCCTGTCGCCAGTCTCGAGGCCCCGGGGTGTGAAACTGGCGGGGAAGTGTTTTGAGTATTGGCAGGATGCCTGGAGGAACAAGAAAAGGATATAAGTTGGCCCGCCCCGGTGGCGCCCACTCTGTCTTGGTGGCCTGTGGGTCGCCGCGGAGCTTCCCGGAACGCCACGTGGGTCCCTTGGCCACACCAGGGGGATTCGGCCACCCAGAGAGACACACGCGCTCGGCCACCAGCGAGTTTCGCCCTCGTCGGGGCGCGGCACTCCGGAGAGCCCAGTGCCAAATCCGGACTCCTCCTTCGAGCCGTGCGCCACCTGGAGGGCGGGCTTCGGAAGCAGGTGGAGGTTTCGAACCCGGGTCCGGCAGGCCGCCGGCTGAGGCGTGCAAAGCTCACCCCGAAGTTCCTCGTCTGGCCTGGACCACTTTCGAATTCCGGTTTGCCCCAGCCGCGGATGCGAGGCCGGGGCTTCGCTGTCGGCGGCGGACCGGCGTGAGTAGCACCGAGAACCCTGCCACCCCCGCCGCTCACACCCTTTCCCGCAGGATGGCGTCTCCCTGGGCTCCGGGAACGTCGCGGGCGCTGTCCCCCAACTGGGCAGTAAAAGATCGAGTCTCCTGCTTTCGGTCCTCAGCCGCCCGGGGACTCAGGGTACAAGGAGGTGGGTCCCTTTGGTAAATCCCAGGAATAGCCTCTCGGGGGCGGAGATTAGGAGCCTTGAAATGGAGCTCTGGTTATTTCTTAGGTATAGAGCCCCAGGGACTAATTAAACTCGCGTTCATGGCCTCACCTGCCTCGTTGCCTTCAATTCAGTACAATTCTACCAACAGTTCCTGAGCGCCTGGGTGCTGAGGACACAGAGGGGGATCCAGACTTGGTTCCTGGCCTCATAGCCTCACAATGCACTTAAGGGAGCCCAAGCGAAGTTACCTACGCAGATAACTTGAGTCCACTTGCCACAGGAGGAAGCCAGCTGGGGAGGTAAGGACGGGTCGCAGAAAGCAGCACTGACCCGTGTCCTGGCTTTGTGGTCTATGGATCGGTGTAAGGTGCACTCTGGTTGCTGTTGTGCACTAGCTCCCCACTCTGCGGCTCCCTCTGTCCTCTCCTCTAGGGAGACCTCAGCCCGTCACTTCTCTGCATTGCATCTGCTCAGTGGCAGGCTGAAGGTCGTGCTTAGAGCTCGGTGTTGTAATACTTTTTAACAACTTGCAGTCAAGTGATGTTAGAATTACCTGGGTTCAGATACATGCAGACTGGATGGAGCAAGACCCCAGGGCTTTTCATCCATGCCCTAGAGATAAGCAGAGGCTGCAGTTTCATGTCTTTTTCATACGTTTGTGCACTCAAATATAATCTTTTAAAAGATGCATGTACTCATGTGTTTTGCTCCCCTTCCACAAACTGTTCTACTAATATCTCTTCTTTTTTTAAAAAAATTAAAATTTGATTTGAGAGACAGAGAGAGAGAGACTTGTCTTTCATCCTCTGGATCACTGCCCAAATGTCCCTCGGAACTCAGTCCAGGTCTCCCATGTAGGTTGCAGGGACCCAGTACTTCAGCCATCACCTGCTGCCTCTCAAGTACATATTAGCAGGAAGCTGGAATCAGGAGCAGGGCTGGGACTTGAACCCAGGTACCCCAACATGGGATGTGGGCATCCCAAACAGCGGCTGAGCTGACTGCTGCTTAAAGGCACCAGGCCCATAGGTCTGTTTCTCCCACATGTGACGCGATCCCCCTCTGGCATCATTTCTAAAGAAAGGTTTCTTTTTCTAATATCCACTTCTTTTTAGAATGTGTGTGTACACTATGTATTTTATTCCTCTGCTTGTCCAAAGGCCCTCACCATTATTTTTCTCCCTCTGCAATTCTTGGCTTACAGAAATAAATTTCTTTGACCACATGCACATATGAGGTGTGCATTTTTTCTGGGTAAAATTGTTTCTTTATCTACCTGTAGTCTCTTGTTCCATGTTTGTGCTTTTTGGATGGACTCTACTTCTATTCACTTTTTCTTTGGTCGTTTAAGTTTTTGACCAAAACAAACAGATTCTTCGTTATTTTCTTTTTTGAAGATTTATTTATTTGAAAGTCAGAGAGAGAAGGAGAGGCAGAGAGAGAGAGAGAGAGAGAGAGAGAGAGAGAGGTCTTCTATCTGCTGGTTCACTCTCCAAATGGCCGCAACAACCAGAGCTGCACCATTCCGAAGCCAGGAGCCAGGAGCTTTTTCTGGGTCTTCCACATGGGTGCAGGGGCTCAAGGACCTGGACCATCTACTGCTTTCCCAGGCCATAACAGAGAGCAGAATCAGAAGTGGAGCAGCTGGGACTTGAACCGGTGCCCATATGGGATGCCAGCACTGCAGGTGGCAGCTTTACCTGCTATGCCACAGTGCCGGTCCCCCTTACTTTCCTTTTGTTCTCCATTCTGGGTTGTCATTTTTTGTTATTTAATACCTAGGAAGGAACTAAGCTCCATCGGTTGGATAGCACATTCATCCTCAGATTCAAGATGGTTTCTGTCTTCTGCAATGAACGCTTTCATTGGAGAAATTAATCCATTGTCATTTCTTTCTTTATCAGTATAACTCAGTTTTTATTTTCAATAAAATTAAAAAATCCTCGCACAGCTACTTGTTCCAAGGTTTATTTATTTATCCATTTTCAAAACTTTGATTTTATTTATTTGAAAGGGAGCATTAAGAGACAAGGAGAGACAGAGATAGAGAGAGTGAGAGACAGAGATCTTCCATTCACTGATTCACTTCCCAAATAGCTCAACAGCCAGGGCTAGACCAGGCTGAAATTAGAAGCCTGGAACTCCATCTGGGTCTGCCATATGGGTGGCAGGGGCCCAAATACTTGGGCTGTCTTCCACCGCTTTCCCAGGCACATTAGCAGGGAACTTGATTGGAAGTGGAGCAGATGGGACTGGAACTGGTGCTCCTATGAGATGCTGGCATCTTAAGTGGTGGCTTAACCTGCTGTGTCACAATGCTGGCCCCTCAAAAGTAGTTTTCAAAAGTCAACAGTTGTTTTAAATATTAGGCACTTAACAAATCTCTTGCTTGAGTCCTTTCTTGTGAGTGAGCCACATTCTCTGTGACAATGACCAAGACCTGAATCAGAGTTAAAAATAAAATAAATAATCTCTTCAACATTTACTGAGCACCTGCTGCTGTGACAGAATGGGAACACAAAGATCTTCCTCTGCTTTCTGGAGCTCCCTTTCTAGTTGGGAAAGATACAAGCAGCAGCAAAAGTATGCTGAAAACTTTGGCAGTGGGGTGCTATTGGAATCCCAGAGTTCCGGTGTCAGACCTGACTTGAGTTCTACTCAGATTCATGGCTGGGTTCTTTTAATCTAACATAAAGCTATTCTCTAAGAGCCCTGGTAAAGTTATTAATAAAACTCCTGAGGTGAAACAGAGAGAACATATATAGCACAAAGCTTTGCCCCCAGAGAACATACAGCAGCTGCCATTGGTCTAGGCTCTCTGTGACCATGTTGGATGTGATTCAGCCTAAATTAGAACAAAGTCTACCCTTTTAACCTGCGTAGTCACCAGGAATATCTAGGAACTAGAAGGAGGAACCAGGCAGGGCATCAGAAACTAGGTAAAACAGTTAAACAGGTGCCAGGGGAGTGAAACAGAAGAACTTTTTTTTTTTTCTTTTCTACTTTTCTTCATTTTCCAATAGCAAATAGGTAGTTGTTTTAGAATCAGAAAAAAATGTTATATCAAAATAATTTTAAGAGCTTTGTATCCCCATTATTGTGGATAAACTCTGAGTTTTCAACAGAGCTATCTCCTGAAGGACCAACCTGGACCTTTCAGCTACTGGGGGACCCGTTGTATAAACAGAGCAAATGCACCTGCCAGGCTTCAGTTATTAATTTAAGTCCGTTTTGTCTGGATGAGTTTCACAGGATGTCTGCTAAGTATCTTATTTGACGTGGTATAACTGACATTAAACTCTTGTCTCTCTTGAGCCACTTTTTATTCCTTTGGGCAGAATTTTCAGAAGAAATCGATGTCTTCCTGACCACTGGACCACTGCTGCATGGGCATATCCATCCAAAGGTGACACCAGATGGTTCAGATATGTCAAGAGAAGTGTGGCTGAGCTAAGCTCTGCTTTGTACTGTTGAAGTTGAGATCTGGTCTGTGAGCTCAGACTTTGCTGACACATTCACTTTGGAGCTCTTGCTTGAACTGGGACAGCATGACCTGGTGCTGTTGTTTTGTTTTGTTTTCCTGCCAAGGAGATTTAAAGCTTAGTAAACTGATAAGTTCTGCAGACGTCTCACGTTGTCCTATGACTTTATCTCGGTAAAGAGTGATCACAGGAGTAGTTCATGGAAGCTAAGCTACATATCAAATTATGCCATCTCCTAAGAGATATAGTACTTTTAAGGGTATTAGACGACTGTGTTATTTGGGGGAAAATATGCTAAGTGTCAGCCACTTTTGAGTTCATCCTAGGAGAACTATACTACACATAGAGGGCTGGGTTGGGAGTTTGGCAAAACTAAAAAGTTGACATATAAATCTTAAGAGTTTTAGAAACCGAGGTTTATTGGGATAAATGCAAAGAATACATTTTAAGCAAAAGTATGGAGAGTTGTATCTTTTGCTGAAAGGGCAGGGGATGCTTGGTGAACTTGTTTGTAGACATTGTATTCTCTCTGTTCAAGGGGAGGTCCTGTGAGCCCTCAGGGAGCTCTGCGTGGGGCTTACCTGCCTCTTAGCATTAAAAAAGGTTAGCACTGAATTACCCTAAAACAAAGCTTCCTTTCATAAGCTCTGTCTCTTGGGTCTAACAACCAGGTTCCAAGTGTGGTCTCTGGCTAGCCCCCCTCGACTCCCTCTCACTTCTTTAGTTGTAAAAGGATGGGTGGACATCAGACATGTGCAGATCTGGTGCCGCTGTGCAATGACGGCCCGTCTGTTCAAGGCCCTAGAAGGCTGAGCTGGCCAGGGCCTACCACAGAGCAATGAAGATGAGTTACAGCCCATCTGTCCCAAGGACCTCCAGATGGACAATACTCTAGCAACTCTCACGCAGGGTAGAATAAGGCAAATGCCAAAAACAGCATGGACAATATGATGAAAGAGGAGGAGGTGACCTGATTCGGGGAGCAAGACAAACTTGTGGAAGAGACACCTTTGAAAGACAGGTAGGATTTCAAGAGGCAGAGAACTGAGAAGAGGGAAGTAGCTATTCAAATGGAGGCAAATGCTTGAATAAGGACTCCAGGAAAGAAAACCAGTGCTCAGGGACCACTGGGATGCTTGTTTGTCTGCAGTTGGATTATGGGTTGTGCAGAGTGAGGTGAAACTCTCCATGTTTGGGCTATGTATAAGAAGCTTGCCCCCAGGGGCCAGTGCTGTGGTATAGCGGGTAAAGCCACCACCTGCAGTGTTGGCATCCTATTTGGGTGCCAGTTCAAGTCCCACTGCTCCACTCCTGATCCAGCTCCCTACTAGTGGCCTGGGAAAGCAGTGGAGGATGGCCCATGTGCTTGCACCCCTGCATCCACAGGGGAAACCTGGAAGAAGCTCCTGGCTCCTGGTTTCAGACCGGCCCAGCTCTAGTTGTTGCAAACAGCAACCATTTGGGGAGTGAACCAGTGGATAAAAACTCCACCTTACTCCCACCCCCCACCTCTCCTTATCTCTCTGTAACTCTGCCTTTCAAATAAGATAAATAAATCTTAAAAAAAAATAGAAGCTTGCCCCGCTGAAAGTTTTACTTTGTTTAAGGAGGAGCAGGTCACCACAAGAACTGGCCTTTGTGCTATTGCTCTTGGTGACTGTATCCAGTGAGATGGTTTGTGGTCTTTTTCTCTTCTAGATCTTTTCCCATGCTGTGATTCCTTCTCTCCCTTTCTGCAGTCTCTGTGCGACTGTTATGAACCAGGGAAGTTCCTGGAGGTAATGCTCGGTTGGAAGTTCTGGAAGTTTCCCTGAAGGTCATGGAAAGTCTGTTTTGTCTAGTGTGTTCTGTGCTGCTATGATAAAATACCACAGGCTGGGTAATTTTTAGGGAACAGAACTGTAAGGGTGGGCACTGTGGCATGGTGGGTTAAGCTGTTGCTTGGCATGCCTGCATCCCAGATTGGGAGTGCCTCGGGTCAAGTCCCGCCTCTGCTCCTGAGCCAGGTTTCTAACACGCACCCTGGGAGGTCGCAGTTACTGGCTCAAGTGTTTGGATCCCTGCCACTCTCTTCCACTCGTGTGCAAGACCCAGATGGAGTTCCTGACTTTGGCCCAATCCAGCTCTGGCTGCTGTGGGCATTTGGGGACTAAACCAGTGGGTGGAAGACCTCTCTCTCTCTCTCTCTCTCTCTCTCTCACTGTGCTGTTCAAATAGACAAAAATAAATAAAAAGAACAGAGCTTTAGTTCTCACGGTTCTGGAGGCTGGAAAGCCCGAGATCAAGGTGTTAGCATGTGGTGAGGGCTGCTTCCTGCTTCCAAGATGGCACCTGGAACTTGTGTCTTCATGAGGAAGGAAGACTGTGTTCTCAGGGACAGGTTTGCAGAAGGCCAAGGTACACTGGGCAACCAAGGTTGGTTTACTTTATTTATTTATTTTTGTAAGATTTATTTATTTGAGAGGTAATGTTGCAACAGAGAGAAGAAGAGACAGAGATAAAGGTCTTCCATCTGCTGGGTCACTCCCCAAATGGCCGCAAAGGCCGGAGCTGGGCTGATCAGAAGCTAGGAGCCATGAGCTTCTTCTGAATCTCTCACGCAGGTACAAGGTCCCAAGGACTTGGACCATCTTCTACTGCTTACCTAGACCATAACAGAGCTAGATCACAAGAGGAGCAGCTGGGACTTGAACCAGCGACCATATGGGATGCCAGTACTGCAAGTGGCAGATTTACCCACAATGCCACAGTGCTGGGCTCCCCCCATCCACCAAGTTTGGTCTAGAAGTAATTTACTGGCAAAGTTTTACTTT